CTCTCGAATTTCCACGCGGATTCCCTGGATCAGCGCTGGATCCCCCTGGCGCGCTCCACGCGCCAGGCTCAGCGCCGATCCAAGAAATCTGCGCGGACCTCCGAGAGTATACGCGCATGTTCGGGCTCCCTTTGGTTAGGCCTGGGAGGCCAAATTACGCCTGCGTGGGTAAGGTTTGCGTGTGGGCGTGCGTAAGAAGTGTACGTCGGCATCCTATATACGAATGCCTTGAGCATGCCTAAACGACTGTAGAGTGGTCGTGTTGTGTATGGTTGCTTCGGGAATGGTCGTTTTGGCCATGCCGAAACGAGCTTTAAGAGGCGGTGTCTTAAATCTATAAACATGAACTTTCGAACATCCGAACGCTTACGTAAACAAATATATATATAGAGAGAGATATACACACGTTCTTCTGTTTGCGATGAAAGGGAAACTCATGCTGGCCTTTCTCTTGTGGTTGCTCCTTGCGGAAGTCGGCCCACTGCTCGTACTCGCCCTGCGCCGCGTCTGGGGCGCCCGGATGGGCCCGGACCCGCACGGAGAACGGGTGGAGCGTGCTGTTGCCCGCGCCGTTCTGGCCCTCGGCGTCGCGCTGGAGCGGCACGATGCTCACTTCCTCTGGAGGGCACCAACTGCACACGTTGTGGAAACCGTCGTGGCCAAGAGCATGAGCGGCCCAAGATCGCCGCAACCGCGTCTCTCGACATCACGCGAGGCATAGCAGGCTGGGAAAGCAGTAACGCCCCGGGCCCAAGGTGCCCCCAGCTCTTCGCTCAACTCTGGAGCTCGTGGGGCCCTGTGGGTCTCGTGAGGGGTGCTCTGGAGGCCGCGGGGGCTTCCCTGGGAATCCTGGGGGCACCTTGGGCCAGGGGCACATCTAGCATTAAGTCGGGCGTGTCCCCCTACAGTCTACAGGGGGATTGTGGGCGAAAAACGAAATATACCCCAAAAATGCCCCCCCAAATGTTCAAAAATACTATTAAAAAATTGTTTTAAAAAAAGTCCCCAGACTATTTGTTGACTATTTTTGAACATTCCCCCTGCAGAGGGACAGGCCCCACTTAAATCTAGCAGCACCCGGGAGCTGGTGCCCCCCGTACGCCTGACCGCCCAGCCACTCGCCCCCGAGCTCGAGGCTCTTGATGTAGAGGCCGCAGGGGCTCCCCGCCGAGGGCCGCAGCGTGGCGTTCAGCTCCAGCCGGGCGGGCAGCCGCCGGTCCTTCGGCTACACGCAGGAGTGACCCTGGGTAATGCGGGATGACGATGATTCAAAAAAAATGGGAGAGAACGATTATAAAAATAGTTTTCTGCTATTTCTGCATAATATTCTAACTGGAGGGGAACTATTTAAAATAATGGTTTTCCAGCCCGCGGCCGGTGTTTTCTAATCGTCATCCTGGGCGCCGCCGCGTGAACACGACCCCTGGTCATTTATTAATCGTCATCCTCCATTAAGAGTGACCGTTGGTGCGCGACTTTTTGGGGGCCGCGGGGGGACCAAACCTGGGCGCGCAAGCCGCTGCTACTGCCTCGTTTTCAGCCATCTGGGGACCCATCTGTGCCCGCACCAGAGGTCACTCCGGCGAAAGGTCACTCTTACGTCTAGTCGATGTCCTGGGGGGCCCGGAGCAGCACATAGCTGCCGGGCATGTTGACGTCGAACTTCTTCCCGGTGACGCTCCTGTCGGCGGCGAGCGATGGGGGGGGGGTGAAGAGGAGGAGGCCTTCGCAGAAGGCGGGGCTCCTCAGAAGGCCTCCGGCCTGCTGAGGGGTGTTCGGTGCCTTCGCAGGAGAGCCCAACATCGAATCGATAAGTCGGATCGGCGATCGACATGAATCGGATCGGCGGAAATCGGAAGACGAGTCGGGAAAAGTCGAATCTGCGGACATCGGCAGGCCAACATGCCTCCAGTGAGAAATCGGAACCCAAACCGGAATTCCAAGTCGAATCGAGTGGGAATCGGAAGCCATCGGAGTCCTGCTGGCCTCGGTCGAATCCCAGGTCAAAGCGGGACTTCTCAGAAGGCCTAGGGGTGCTCGGCGTCTTCGGGGGAGGCCCAGAAAACTTCTCCAAGGCCTGGGGACTTCTGAGGAGGAGGAGGAGGAGGAGGAGGAGGAGGAGGAGGAGGAGGAGTACGGAGGAGGATAAATATCGGAGGAGACATGAGGGCGGGCAGATGAGGAGTAGGAGGAGGAGGAGGAGGAAGGAGGAGAAGAGGAGGCGGGGGAGGCAGGTGAGGAGGGGGAGGGGTAGCGAGGATGGGAGGAGGCGGCGAAGCACGGAGGGGTAGGACGAGGAGGAGGAGGAGGCGGAGCATGGGGGGAGGCGGAGGATGAGGAGGAGGAAAAGGCGGAGCGGAGGAGGCCGGAGGAGGCGGAGAGGGAGGAGGGCGGAGGAGGAGGAGTAGGAGGAGAGGAGGAGGAAGTGAGGAGAGGTGGAGGAGCAGGGAGCGGAGGAGGAGGAAAAGGCGGAGGCGGAGGATGCGGAGGAGGAGAGGAGGAGCGTGCGGAGGAAGAGGAGGAGGAGGAGGAGGCGGAGGAGGAGGAGGAGGAGGAGGAGGCGCGCCGCGTCTCACTCCCGCCCCGGGCTCGCCGCCGATCCTGAGGTGCGGGTCGCCCACCGCGGAGGCCAGGTCGTTGCTGGCCTGGCTGACCACGACGTCCTCGACGCGCATGGCGTCCCCGCTCTCGTGCGCCATGATCTCCGCGTCGGCGATCGTGCTCAGCAGCAGGCTCGACTTGATCATGTCCATGTTGGCGCTGAACTCGGCTTCGGCGGACACGGGATCCTCGGGGTCGGGCGAAAGGAGGGAAAAGGGGGGGAAAGGGGGGGAAAGGGGGGGAAAGAGAAAGGAGGGGGAAGAGGGGGAGACAGGGGGGAAAGGGGGAAAGAGGGGGGAAAAGGGGGGGATCGATAGCAAAGGGGGGGTTTGAGAATCAGCTCCCGTAGCTGATTTTCCCGGCGCCTCCCGGCGCCGGAGGCGGCTATGTATCGAGGAATGGGCCCCTCGGTGAGGCCGAAACCAGCTGCGTGCAGCAAATTTCGTACCCCCCCCTTTCTCCTCGGGGGGTCCTCTCCACCCCCCTTTCGCCCGGCCCGAGCTTCGACGGACCCGGGATCCTGGAGCTGGGAGACGATGACGTCAACCAGCACCGCACCGCCGACAACCTCCGGGGACGCACCGATATCCGGGCCAGCACCAAAAACCCGAGCCGGCCAGCTGGCCCTGTCGCGAAGCAGCCTGGCCAGCCGCTCCGTTGCTCCCCACACCGAAGGGGTACCAGGACACACGAATAAATACACACAAATGAAAAGCTTCCCCATATTTTCCCATATCTTCTGGGTTTCGTCTTCCCCCCCACTTCCTATATCTTCCCATGTTCCCCTGGGGATCGACGATGAATTGTGTCTGTGTGTCTCTTTCCCCTCCTGACAAACCCGGGTCAGCGGAGGGCGGAGACAGCGTGCATCGGCCCCACGTGGCTCCCAACCCCGGGTCAGCCAGCGGGGACTGGCCTGCCCCCGCTGGCGCTGACCCCTCTCCCCAGACCCCCGACGTCGTGTTTTTGCCATCGCGTGGAGCCCCGGAAGCCTGGGCCCCTTCCCCAGGACCGGCTTGCCGTCCCGAGCCGTTCTCTGACGGCCCCGAGGCCCGACAAGGCCGGCCAGGGGCCGAACATGGCGAAGAACCTGCCGTCGCGATTTCTTCGCAACGCGAAAGGGCCTGGGCACGCGAGCCCCGACAACCTGCGCGGTGCCAGCAGCGTCGCCGGCTGACAGCGTCGGCGGCGCCTGCAGCGTAGGCGTCCCGCCGCCGCTGGGCGCCTGCAGCGTGGCCGACGCCGCCGCCGAGGGCGCCTGCAGCGTGGGCGTCGCGCCACCGCTGCTCGGCAGCGTGGCCGACGCCGCGGGCGAGGGCGACCCGGGCGGCGGCGCCAGCCCGGGCGGCATCTCTATCGTTAAGTCGGGCGTGACCCCCTGCAGGGGGATGTCCCACGAAAAATACAATATGCTCAAGGAATGCCCCAGAAGGGCCCCCAAAAAACGGCTCCAGAAATAGTCCCCTGACCTTTTTTTTACTATTTCCTCCCGTAGGGGGACAGGCCCAACTTAACTCTATCGTGGGCGTCGGGTCGCCGCCGTGGGGCGTCGGCAGCGTGCCCGACGACGGGAGCGGCCCGGAGAGGTCGTGGCTGCCGCCGGGGGGGGCCGGGAAGGTGGCCGGCGCCCAGTCGCCCGGCGGGAAGGCGGCGGAGGCGTGGCGGCCCCCGGGCGACGCCGACAGCGTGACGTGGCAGTCGGCCACCGGGAGGAAGTGGGCCGCGCAGACGCTGTCCGCCACCTCGGGGGGGGCAAGCGAGAAGGGGCCAGAGCCCCTCGCGTCGCGAGAAAATCACGGCGGATGGTTTTTCGCTATCTTCAAACTCTCGGGGCCCTCGCTGGGCCCCAGGAGCGAAAAAAATATCCCGGCAAAGCAACCTAACAGCGATGTGTAGAAGCATAGCTGGAAACATTGCCTGTGGTATTCATGTAAGAGTGCTCTTGTAGAATTCTGGAGTTCTCGCAGTCGCATTCGGATTCGCAGTGGCAGTCGCAGTGGCAACATCAGCGGCAGTCGCAGTGGCACTGCCAGTAGTTGCAGTAGCAATAGCTACACTAGCAGCAGCAACAGCAGCAGCAGCAGTAATAGTAACAGTAGTAGTAGCAGTAGAAGTAGTAGCGATGGTAGTAGTGGTAACAGTAAAGTAGTAGTTGTAGTGTGTGGAGTGAACGAGTAAGAGCGATGGGAGCAGTGATGAGAGTAATTGTAGCGTGGTTGGCCTTCCGTGCTTTCCGGACTTTCTCTGCCAGCTGCCGCTCTGCGAGGCTACGCCCGGCATGCTCCTTCGGGTGGCGGCCGAGGTCTCGCACTTGCTGCATGAGCTCCTCGGTCTTGTCTCGCTTTTGCTGCATGAGCTCCTCGGTCTTCTGTTTCCGCTTGAGCTCCTCGGTATCCGTCTGCTGATCAGCACAGCCCACGGCCCGCAGTTCACGCAAAATGTCTTTGGGGATGCGGTCGCGATGGTCCGAAAAACGTTTGGCCAACTTCTTTTCGGCCCGTTCTTGCTAAGACGTTCCTTTATTTCGTTTCGGTATCTGGCCGAACTGCTTCACGTGCTCGACGAGCGTTTGCTGAGGACCGCTCAATGCAGCACGCTGAGGAACAGCGCTGTTCCCTGCCGCAGGCTGAGGAGCACCGCTGTTCAATGCAGCAGGGTCAGGAGCACCGCCGCCAGACCGAGAACTATCAGCATGTCCTGGCATTAAGTTGTGCAGTAGGCGCTGCGCAGTTCCTTCGAAAGGAAATCTTCGAAAGCAGGGCTGTAGCCAAGAAGTCTACGGGGACGATGATGATGATGAAGATGATGAGTCTTGGAAATCTGGGGAACGGAAGAGCACGAAGTGGCGTAAAGTTGGCCCCGGGCATTCAAAATGTCGCCCGGGAGTGGAGTTCTGGGAAGTGGAAGAGCACGAAGTGGTTGGCTCCGGGCATTCAAAAAGTGGCCCGGGAATTGTGTTCTGGGAAGTCCAAGAGCACGAAGTGGCCTACAGTAGGCTCCGGGCATCCAAAATGTGGCCCGGGAGTGGAGTTCTGGGAAGTCGAAGAGCACGAAGTGGCGTACAGTTGGCTCCGGGCATCCAAAATGTGGCCCGGGAATGGAGTTCTGGGAAATCGAAGAGCACGAAGTAGCGTACAGTTGGCTCCGGGGATTCAAAATGTGGCCCGGGAATGACGTTCTGGGAGGTCGAAGAGCACGAACTGTGTGAGTGTTTGTTTAAAACGAACCCGGCCCTCGCCTGTCCGGCTCCCGCCCAGACCCCCCTGGGGAGTCATCAGATGCTCTCTTTTGACCCCATTAGAAACCTATCAGTCTTCGCTGTTAGGTAAACAACTCAGGATGCAAAGCCCGTCCCGGGGAAGGGGTCCAGACCTCTGGGGGTCGACGTTGTGAAAAAATCGCGACGTCAGGTCGGGCGCGTCCCCTACAGGCGGATTTGGGGTGACAAGTAAGGGAATACATGGTCAAGCAAGAATGCTCGAACAAAACAATGGTCCCAGATGCGCAGAAAAAGAAAAGAAACACGTCGTCCCCAGGCTATGTTTGGACTCTTTTCGAGCAAGTATTCCTCCTGTAGAAGGATACGCCCGGCCGAAACCTGCTGGCAAGGCGCGAGCGGGCCCGCGGGGCGGCTCCTGGGAGCCCCGGAGCCTTCGCCCGGACCAGCTCTCCATCCCGAATCGCTTCTTGACTGTCCCAGGGCCTGGCGAGGTTACTAGTTACGGGCAATACTTATATCCATATCCAGAGCGTCGTGGACTTGTTGGGAAGGGGTGCCGCAAGGCCGAGCCACACTGGATATGGATAAAACACAAAAACCTTTTGGGGAAAAAAATCATCCATATCCAGTGCGGCTCCGTCTTCTGGGGAAGAGAGCCCAAAGCTCCAAGACGCACTGGATGTGGATATAACTATTGCCCACATTACTTACCCATGGCAAAGGGCCCTCCAAGAGTCAAGTGAAAAAGAAACGCTATAAACTTACACTGTTGGCGCTCCGCGCGGATTTCTCGGATCTGCGCTGGCCCCTCTCCCCTGCGCGCGGAGCGCGCCAGGGGCGGCGCCAGAGGCGCCGCCAGGGGGGGCCCAACGCAGATCGAAGAAATCCGCGGGGAGCGCCAAAAGTTTATGTTTATGGCGTTTCTTCTCCTTCGACTTATGGAACTGTGCATCCACGCATTTGCCTTACCATCGATAACCAGCTCCTGCCAGAGTATGCGTCCAGAGGTGCTTAAGTCGGGCGTGTCCCTCTTCAGGGGGAATATTCAAAAATGGTTAAAAAATAGTCTGGGGACGATCCTTTGACTATTTTTTAGTATTTCGGGTGTATTTTTTAGTATTTCTTTTTTGTCCAAAATACCCCTGTAGGGGGACACGCCCGACTTATAGCCTTGAACGAGACGTGCGGCCGTGGCCTGGGCCTGGCGGCGGGCACATGGCGAACGACGGGCTACTGCAGCAGCAGTCTGTCCGGGGAGGGCCCCCCGGGAGCTCGAGAGCGACGAACGGCCTCAGTGCGCCGCCAGAATATGACCGTTGAAGGGGCCCAGGGACACACAAATAAATCCACACAAATAACAGGATCCCCCATATTTCCCATATTTTCTGGGTTTTTGCCTTCCCCCCCCACTTCCCATATTCTCCCATATTTTCCTGGGGGGCGACGATTCAATGTGTCTGCGTGTTTTTCTCCCTCCTGGACCCTGTCCACTGCCGCCGGGTCGTGTTCCGAGGGCTCGGGGAGCGGCGGATGTGGATATCTGCCCGCCGGCGCGGGCGGGCAGGCTCATCCATGTCCACCGCTCCCCGAGATCCCAGGGCACGACTCGGAGGAGGGGCGAGGAGGAGGAGGAGGAGGAGGAGGAGGAGGAGGAGGAGGAGGAGGAAGGGGAGGAGGAGGAGGAGGAGGAGGAGAAGATGATGGAGCTGTGGGGTGGAGGAGGACAGACGGAGGCAAGAGAAGGATGGAGGAGGAGGAGGAGGAGGAGGAGGAGGAGGAGGACGAGGCGGTGGATGTGGACACAAAGTGCCCGGTCGGTGGATCCAGGACCCCGCCTCCCCCTAACCTACGGACCCCCCCCTCCCGATGGGCCTCAGTCTGCGTTAAGCATCGGCCTCAGCGAAGCGCCCGCGAGTGACCTCCTCGGGGTCGGCGGCTAGAACTTTAAGAGTCGGGCGTGTCCCCCTACAGGGAGGATTTGTTCGACGAAAAAACAAAAAAGTACCCCAAAATGCCCCTAACCAGCTAAAAAAAATTGCTCAAAAAAAAATTGCTCCCATGACTATTTTTTTTTTGGGCTACTTTTTTTTTTTTTTTTTTTTTTTTTTTTTTTTTTTTTTTTTATTTTTTTCCTTTTTCCCCCATTTTGGGGGTATGTTTTATTTTTCGTCGAAAATCCCTCTGTAGGGGGACAGGCCCGACTTAACGCTAGACACCCCCCCACTTGCGCGCTCCGCGCGCCAGGGGGGGGGGCGCCGGAGGCGCTGCCAAGGGTGCCCAGCGCCGATCCAAGAGAGCCGCGCGGGCCTTCGGAAGCTCATCTGTTGTTTAATGTCTTTTCTTCCTCCTCGAGGAGCGTGGAGCGCGCCAGGGGAGCCCAGCGCCGATCCAGGAGATCCGCGCAGAGCTCCAACAGCTTACAGTATGTCTGTGCCGTGGTTTCTTCTTCGATCTCCGTCACGGCGGGCCTTGGCCTTCAGCGAGGCCACGGCCGTTGCCGAAGCCGACAGCGATGCGTAGTCGATGCCGGTCAGCTTGAACGACAGCTCGACGCTGGCCGCCGCTGCAGCGGGCGCCCAACTCAGCGCGCCCTCGCCCTCGTGCTGCTGGACCTCGACCTCTGGTGGAGGCCTCTCAAATAATAATGTGGGAGCGTTCGTTGAGGCATGTGCCCAGGAGGCTTCAGAACCCTGGAGGGTTCCTTATCTGAGGATGGCGGCGACGATATCCATGGCCCATCCACGATTGGAATTTCAGGGGCTTCCAGACCCTGGATTCCAATGCACTCGCCGCACCTAGGTTCCACGAGGAGATGGTGTCGGAGGAGCGCGCCGCATCGCCGATGCCCCGGCGATGCCTCGGCAATGCACCCGCGACGTCGGCGATGCATCGGCTACGGCGCACCTGGCGCACCCTGCGCACCAGAGACTCCTATGCGGTGGCGAGCCGTCGTCGTCGTCGCCGCCGCCGCTGTCGTCGTCGTCGTCGCCGTCGCCGTCTGCGCCGCCGCCGCCGCCGCCGCCTTCGTCGTCGCCGTCGTCGTCGTCCGTTGTCCGTCGTCGTCCGTCGTCGTCGTCCGTCGCCGTCGTCGTCGCCGCCGCCGCCGCC